ACCTCAGGTGATCCACACGCCTCAGCCTCCCAAAGTGCTGGGATTACAGGCATAAGCCAGTGTGCCAGGCCATAACTTATGTTTTTTAACAAACCAAATTGTGTAGGCCAAACAGAGCATATCTGTGGTGTCTAAAGCAGGATCTGACCGTAGGAACCATAAGTTTCCAACCATTAATTGGCAGATCTGGGACTTTTTCTCGATTGTTTTGTTTTTTTATCCCCAGCAGTGAATCTAGAGATGGTGCTATGAAGGAGAGAGCTAGAGCTGAGGGTCTGAGGCCCCACGCTAACTGCTCCTCTCTTTTCTGAGTGGTTTTTTCTGATGGATTCCATCTTTGATTTGCTCTTTCACAGGGTGTGGTGGAGCATGTGGAGGCAGCAACTAGGACAGGTCCGTGTGAGCCGTGCCCTCCATGCCTCTGCTGTGAAGCACAGGGCCCTGAGCCTCCAGCTGCAGGTGAGTCCAGTAAACGTGGGTTTTGGCATCCTCTGTCCATGTTGTCAAGTGTCTCACCCACAGAGGGAAGTGCTGGGCCTTCCCTGCAGCTCAGGGCCTGAGCCAGGGTGGGGGCAGAGGTAATCCGGAAGGCTGGGCTCTTCCAGAAGGAGGCTGCTCTTAGGAATAAAGCAGAGGCTTGTCCTAGATGAGCCTAGATCAGTGGCTTCCAGAGTGCTGCTGGTAATTGTGGAGCTGGAGAGGGATTTATGAATTAGTTATAAACATGTTTAGAGAAACAGCAGTATACTCTGATTTCCTCATTACTGTTTTCCTACAGCAAATCAGAAAATAATTGGGGCAAAAAAGAAACTAAGACTGAAGAGAAAACCTGGCTGCTGCTGCTTTGTAGTTTTGATGGTCTTAGAGTGTTCTTTTAGGCAAGCCCCTGGCTTTTTTTGTCAATCATAAAGGACTAAAGCCTGTACTAAAACTTTCTTATCCTTTGACATATTCTCTGAATTCTTGTCATGGTTTTATGTCTGCTGGGTACCTACAGAGCTGCCAAGTAAGTTATAGGAAATAGAACCGGGAAGAGGAAAAAAAAAATTAGCGCCTGTTTCCAAATGTAGGAATAGTATCTTCTTATTCTAACAACAAATTGCATAGTCCATGCAAATATGTGCAAATCACATGCAAATAGCATATATAGTCATCTAGATCAGTGATCAGCAAACTGGCTCACAGGCCAACTTTGGACTGCTTTCTGTGTTTGTAAATAAAGTTTTATTGGGATGCTGTTACACCCATTCGTTTATGTATCATCTATGGCTGCTTTCTGATTACAAGGGCAGTGTAGAGTAGTTGCAAAAGAGACCTTATGGCCTGCAAAAACTAAACTATTTGTTTTCTGACCCTTTAAGAAAAAGTTTGCTGACCTCTGAACTTGTAAGGTCTTCTGAGGCAATAGCAAGGAAATAAGAGACAGAGCCAATAATAATAACAGTACCAATAGCAGCAGCAACTGCAGCCTGAGTGACAGAATGGGATCTTGTCTCAAAAACAAAAAAGAAGAAGAAGTAGCTTTTATCGTTGTCTACTTGTGTTACGTGCTGGACTAAGTGCTTTACGTGCATTATCTAATTTTCACAAACCTTTTTAAAAAGTCCCATGTTATTGTTAAGAAAACCAGGAAGGTTAAATAACTTGAACCAGGGTCATATGTATAGTGAAGGTTAGAACCAGGTTTTAACCTAAGCAGCCAGAAAGCTGCATCATTATCTTTTTTTTTTTTTT